AAAATTATAAACAATTATCCAGACCACACACCACTGAGTTTACTCAGTGCCAAGAGGATTCCTCCTGCTACTCACATGGCAGTGGAGGGGTGTCTTCAGGTGGGTGGGGGGCTGGACCCTCAGCTCTAATCCTGTGATCACTTTGTCATCACCTCTCTGCCCTCCAGGCTGGTCTCAGGGGACACAGCTCCCCGTTGGCATCTCTGAACCCAAGTGGCCCATTTATTAAGCAAGACTTCAGCTTGCTTATTCTCAGGATAAAGGCCCAGTGCCCCACCAAGGCCCCCGGAGCCTGCCCGGGGGCTCCTGTCCTCTGAGCTGTCCTCTCCTTCCTTATCCTGCAGCAAGAAAAGTGTTTTTCTTTCCCGGGGGGCTCCTGGGAGGTTGATTTGTTGCCTAGTCAATGCAGTCCTAATGTTGATATGGGTGGGTACAGGGTTGTTGGGTTTTTTTTTCTTGCTTCAGTAAGGGAGAAAGGAAACCAGGGGAATTAGATGGAGGGAACCCACAGCATTAAATCTGTGCATTTATTGATTGGGGTGGCTTGGGTGGGGGTGACTAACAGAGCTGGGCCTCTGCAGGGGTGTTTGAGATCAATAGAAGCAGCTCTTGCCTGAGGCGGTCACACCTGGTAAGCAAGTATTTCGAATTGGGAACAGAGGCCAGGGCCCTAACACAGACCTAGGGGGAAGGGGATACTGGGGAGGTGGGAGGCTTTCCACCTGGAATGATCAGATTCCAGGTAGTGGGGACAAGAGTCTCCCCTCTGCTGTGCCCCACTTCCCTGTGGGCTGTCCTGGCCAAACTTCTGAGTCATTGGATGGGCAGCAGGGAGCGAGTCAGTCAGCAGCTCAGCCATGGCACCCTGAAGACCAGAAAGCAGGTTCCCCCAGAGACTCTGGGGTGAGGGGACTCCCCTTGGCCCCTCTGGGGGGGTCCAGGACACTCATCAGGTTATTGATTCCTGTGAAGCTTAACTCATTTGGAGGTGCCACCCCCAGTTCTAGGTAGCAAGTAGGAACCAGCCAGAGAAGAGCGAGCTGAGTACCTGGGCAGGTCCCGTGGGCGTCTGAGGTCATGGTGCCAGCAGCGGCTCCCCAGTCCGTGCCCGGCTGGAAGAGGTGATGCTTCACCCTAGGGGAAGAGAAAACAAGTTGTGGGGTCGAATGTGAGCCAGCTGTGGCAACAGGGAGCAGCTAGGGCCAGGTCTTTGGTGGTGTCCTCTGGGATGGCCGCAAATGCCAAAATAGACTTGACCCAGCGTGTTCCTCTGTCTGCTGGGCTCTGCTGGCTGCTATTTAAGGAACATCCTTCACCTCACTCCAGCGCACTCCAAGCCAAGTCAGAGTCCTGCCGTCCTGTTGGGGCACAAGGGCAAAGAATGAGAAAAGAAGACAGCCATCTGAGAAGTAATACAACCAAAGAAGCAATAAAACCAAACACAGAAGAAAAGATGGCAGGGAACGTTTTGGAAATTACTCGAGGTCGGGAACATTTGCGCTCACTCATTGATAGAGCAGCTATCGTTCGAG